GCTGACTGACGCGCTCTTTACAAATTCAAATGTTGCCGCTTCAAACGACAGGTTTTACGGCAGGATTATCGAACGCTCATTGGCTCTTGCCTGCATTCGTCACAGATTGCGACATGCCGTGTTTCTGGTGAGGTGTGTTTGAATAATGCGCGCGTGCCTTCACGAGTTCACGGAGTGGATCCGGGAAAATTATCTGGATAATATTTTCAGCGATTAACAACATAAATTCTGCTCTGGATCACACAAACCTACTGTATTCCGCCAGAGAGGACTGCGGGTGCAACGCATCATTTGGATTACATTTGGTGCTGCTTTTGACATTTTTGCAATAAATAAATGATTGTAATTGCATTTATCTGCTGTCATGTTTTTCTTACTGTACAGAAATGTTTAGGTTTATAGGTAGGAGTGTAATTAGCGACTATAAAAATATTTTAATGCTATATTGTTACTAAAATTGTTATTTTCCTGCGTATTTCGGTCATTTGCGTTTTATATCCTTTTATATTCGCTATAAAATGGGTAGGTTTAGGTTTGGGGGTAGGTTAAGGGGTCTAAAAATCTAAATTGCATATTAATAAAATGATAAAAATGCATATTCGCTATAAAATGGGTAGGTTTAGGTTTGGGGGTAGGTTAAGGGGTCTAAAAATCTAATCGCTTATTGATTAAATGATAAAAAATGCACTGATACGAATGTCTTAATGATATAAAAGATACGTAAATATTTTTACGTTTTTTAGCTAAAAATACGTAGCGATTTGTACGTTTTAAACGTTGAAATACGTCTAAATTGTACGTTTTAGCATTAATAAAAACGTACAAAAGTGTACGTTTTGTGCTTGTAAATGTTACGTATTAATACCTACGTATAAACATGAGACCAGGCTGATAATATATATATAAAGAAGTTCAGTTGAAAATCGTATGCATACAGTACACTCACGTTAAGCCGTATGCACTATATAGCAAATCTCAACTGCTTGATTGTTATATCATCGAAAAATGTTAATTATATCGCCCAGCTATATATTAAAAGTTGAATATAGAGTACATCCGGCTGTATCCGCATTCATACATGTTCTATATGTATTTTAGGTAACACTTTATTTTGATAGTCCACTTTAGACATTTTACTAACAGTAAGTAACTTTGCAACTACATGTCAACTAGCAGTCATTAGAATAGTAGTAGACTGTCTGCTTAATATCTTCTAACACTTTATTTTGATGAACTGCAACATACTGACTATAAGAAACTTTGCAAGTATATGTCAACTTATTCTACTAACCCTAAACCTAACCTTACAGTCTACTCTGACAGTTAGTAGACATGTAGTTGCAAATTAATGAGAATTAGTTGGCATGTAATTGCAAAGTTACTTATAGTTAGTAGAATGTCTAAAGTGGACTATCAAAATAAAGTGTAACCGTATTTTATGCGTATTAAAGCTGGATATTCAATAAAAAATAACAATATAGTGCAGGATTTTTGTCTATGTTTGGATTTTGACAGGTGGGCATTAAATATCAGAATGAAGTCTGATATTTAATATCAAGGTAAAGCTAAAAGAATGCCAGTAAGTAGTAGTAAATTGAATCAGTATTTCACACTGACATGATGATTAGAGTGACCACTTGGTTATTGCTCTGTTGCAGGACAGCAGATGTGATTTTGCAGGGATAATGCTATTTAAATATTGATGATGATTGCATGATAAAATTATTGAAATTGCTAATATAATTTTTATTAATGGTGACCGGCTCTGTGACTGGCATGCAATTTGCCTAGGTTTGAGTGATACAATGTAATTTACTCCACGGGACCTTTTCAGTCTGCTAAATATAATGAACCGAATAACAGGTTATTAGGTAAAATCATAATTTATATTAAAATAAATTTCCTTAACTAGTGAACTAATGATGATTCATGCATGTTGTTGCAGTACCTAGAAGTTGTTAAAAAACTTTTTTGGGGGGGGGGATGTTGTGATGGAAATAGGGCTGGGCGATAAATCGATAACGATAATTATCGCGATATAATTTTCCTCGCTAAAACGATATGAAGAGTTCGATAAATGCTCGATATAATGTTCATGAGCCAAAAGCGGAACGAAAGAGCGTAACTCATTTGAATCGCGCCACTCGGAGCGTTTATCCGCTCGCAGCAGATGCGTTTACTCGCTGACGAGTCTCGGTCACGCGAGCACTAAACAGCGCTTTGAGATCCAGTGTGAAGCTCTTAAGATTAGCAAACAACACAAATGACTCGCTGATTTAAACTAGTTTAAAGGCTGATGAAACAGCGCTGACAAACAGGAGAAACACTGTGTGCAACGATACAGTCAAAAGGCTTTTCAATCTATAAACTGCCATCATTTACCATGCATTGTCTGGCATACAGTAACCATACAGTAACACTAACTGCACTATGTGTATTGTGTCAGAAATGTGGGTACTTGTATCGAATTTTATTATATATTATAAAAATTTACATCTGCATCCTAACTCAAGCTACTACTACTATCAAATGTGCAATTCTAAGAGACAAAAAACGAATATTATTATTATCAGTCTTGATTTGAAACAATATCACTTTTAGAACATGCAGAAACTAAGAAATTAATTTTTCTACTAAGATATTTATTTTGTTAAGGAAAATTAATGGTCTGGTTTCTACAACTTTCACTTTGGAGCAAATATCTGGCTTTAGACTTGAAAGAAATAAAGATTTGACATTTATTGTGATAATTATCGATATCGACTGATATTTTTTTCATCACTGTTTTCCCTCCTTTCTCCTCAGCCTTAGAATTATAGGGTGTTTTTGCTACTGTACTGTAAGAGTTCCTCAAGAGATGACTGCAAAGATACAGATTATAAAACTGTTAGTTCTGACGCTGAAATCAGATTGAATGAGTCACATTTGCAGTTATTATAAAAGAGCCTGTGACCACATCAGAATAATTAACTGTGGTTATTAACAATAAATGTAGCTATTTATTGAGCATTGGTGTGATTTATCACATTGCTGTTTTATAAAAGCCACAAGAAGCCTTTCCTTCCAGTGATTTTACCACAATTGAGGGGGTTTTAGTTCCCCTTACTGATTTAATAATTAATGACACAGAGAATATTTTCTGTTTGGTAGTTCTAATAACATTGAACTGTTGATTACAAAGTTTGTATATGATGTCCACAGTCTTTGACAGTTGCTGAATAAGGCTGTTTTGATCTGAGAGCATTACAGCAGGAGGACGTATAAGGGAGACAGAAGGTTCTTTGAGGTTAAGGGTATTTCAACATGCCACATTTGTGAGACAGAGTACTTTCTTTTTCTGATAACCTCCACTTCAGTGTGGGGCCTGTGATATGACACACACACACACACACACGTACACACACACTTTGTGTAGTGCAGAGACTAGTGGCCCCACTTGAGCTTAGAAACCCTCAGTCAGACAAGAGAGACTCTCTCTTTTTCTCTATTCGCGCTCATCTATCTGCAGCGCTTCATCACTCCACTTCACCACCTCCTTAGCCCTCCTCTCCCCTTCCTTCTGATGCTGCATAATCTTTTATAATTTGCACATTCATTCTAATGTACACAGCATGGTTTTGGAGATCAGTATTAGCTCTCATACTGGTGTTTAGGCTGTTTGTGAGCTTCAAATTTGTAATTTTATGAAACAGCAGCATCTCTGGGCATGTGACCAAAGGCACAAATCTTATTGGTTGGCTAGTTTTCTTCACAGTGCTATGTAAAAGAGATTAGAACAGCTCTCTGGAAAAGACTAGATTCAATAACAGCCATTCGTTCAAATTAAAATGTTTACCAAACAGAATTTTGACAATGAATGAATATTAACTGACTCTTAAAGGGGTAGTTCACCCCAAAATGAAAATTCTATCATTTTCTCACCCTCATGTTGTTCCAAACCTTTATGAGTTTCTTTCTTTGAATTTTAAACTGAAAACCATGTAAACCTCAAATGAAACTGAAACATGAATTTATATTAGGCTAAATCCGCAAATTTATAGTTTGCACAATAATGGATGTATTAGTAATTAGCCTTATATATGTAAATACTGTATGTCTTATCACAAATTGTGGACCAAAAAAATATTTTTATTAGACATAATGTATGACCTTAAGATAGTAGAACATTTGTGTAAAAATTAAACATGGCGTCTCCTCTTAGGTCTATAGCGGTAGTTAGTAATGTGCTGTAGGCGTCCTGGGCGAAGTGGAGGTCTTTAATGGGATCTTGTTGGCTAAACTCAGCGCAGTATTATTAAATTTAAATCCCACTGTGTGACTCCCATCCAGACTGCGGTTCTTCTGTTTGGCTCCAGAAGGAGAGAAAATGAAGTCATATTATGAGCCGGTCTCAGAATGATGCTGAAGTATCATTTTTTTGGCCATATCGCCCAGCCCTAGATGGAAAACATTTCAAGTAAAAGACTTTTAAAAACAGAAAATGCATCCATGACACCTGTAAAGCAAAGGCAGACGGAAAATGAAACACAGGCAAAACCCAAAGCAAATGTGTCGCCTTCCAAGTGAAAATGCTTTCTGAGTTAATGACTGACTAAAAGAAGCAGATGGTACACATTAAAAAAAAAAAAACACATGGATGCAAAATAAATAATAATAATAATAGAAATGTTGTCAGCAAGATGAGACGGAATGGATGGGAGAGAACAGTAGAGTTACAAACACACTCCAGATCTACAATCTGTTCATTCTAGAATAAGAATCACCTCTGAGACCAGATGGTTGTCCTCAACCTGAAACAATGAGTAGCGAACATTAGCTTTTTCTTTAATAATCTTTCTGACTGTAGGGTTTCATTGTATTTTTTAGCTGTGAATAAAAAAAGAGAGGGATTAAACAACCTGTCAGTTTTTGATGAGAAATAATTTAAAATAAAAATACATAAAAAAATAAATTATAAAAAATTTAATAAATTAAAAACACACTTTCCCATGGTATTTGAAATGTTTTCATGATTACTGGATCTTTTTATATATATATTAATAAGCAGTGGCGGCTCGTCGGGGGAGGCAGGGGAGGCACAGCTTCCTCATAATTTTAAGGTGAAAATGGGAGGAGGGCGATTTAATGTTAATAAAATTTACAATTCATTTCAGTTCATGTCTCCGAATGTGTATTTTTTGTTTGTAATTTCACAG